CGTGAAAAGTATTGTGCACTCCACGAAAGTTCGTGACATCGACCAACTGCGACATCGTATTGCCGAAGCTTGTAATACGATTCGAGAAGACGTGGCAACGTTGCAACGCGTGCGAGCGAATTGGATACGTCGCGCTGAAGCTTGTGTGCAAGTAAATGGTGGGTACATCGAACATCTTCTATGAAAATCAGCAGTTTTCAAATTGCTTGCAATGTTGCAGATTTTAAATTACAGTTTACTCAACACAAATCCGTGTATTTACCTCGTTTTGACATAACGGATATATGGCAAAAATGTTTGACATAAGTTCATTAATACCCTGTATAGTTTCGCATTAATTAATATACATATACAGGGTGATTCAGTCATAATGTCATTAAATTTAAGAGCAGATAGAGAAAAATGAGTATAATACGACGGCGTGATTAAAAAAAAATTAAATGCATATTTAAGCTGAAAAAAAAATGTTTTCAAATCATTATTTAACCCCCTTTTCAGATTGATACTGATCGGCTGACGTCAGCCGGCTACGATGTGAACAAAGCGACCTAGATGCAATGTTGCCATATTTATATATTTTCGCACATATAAAGACAATAAGAACCTCGAGGAGATCTGAGCATGACTTGCCAAAAATCATTTTTTATTAACATCATAGTGATAAATTTGCTGTAAGCCTTCTACTAAAATTGAAAGTAACGCGGCCCATTCAGATGTTCAGGTAGAAAATGCGGTCCAATTAAACGATCGCCTTATACTCCTGCCCATACATTGACACCGAATCTTCTCTGAAAGCTAAACCGACGAGTAGTGTGCGGGTTTTCATCTGACCAAATGTGACTATTATGGCTACAAAGAAATTAACTCTGTTTCACTTTAAATAAAATTTAATATTGAAGTTACAAAACCCCAAGAGTTCAAATAATTTAAATTTCATTTTATAACCATTTCATTTTCATTACAGAAATAATGACATAAAAAACCAACACTCACTAGATAAATTATAAAGAGAGGGTGAAATGTATGTAGTATTTAAATATTGACTGTAAGTAATAGAAGATAAAAATACAATCGGACGGAGACAAATAAACAACTCGGTACGTCGTGTTTCCGACCTAGGGTAACCTGTGGTTCAGTAACCTTTTAACCCAGTTTTAATTTGCACACGTGCACCATATAGTCCAGGAGCCAGATGTGCAAACAACTTATTCTTAAATATTTGACCTCTTGAATCCAAAGAAACTTGGTCGCAAAGCCTGAAAGTGGTCAGTTTAATTGTTATCAACAAATTAAATGTTTAAATGGCTGTAAAAAGTTTATTTTTATAGCT